TCTCTTTTATACTCCTCTCTAATCAGCCTCCATGCCTTCCTGGAGCTCTTTCAGGATACCATGTATTCTTCTCTTTGTATCCTTGGAATTAGCACATTACATTGCATTTTATTAAGACTCAAAAATGTTATAGCAGGGCGAGGTGGTGCACACCTGTAATCCCAGAACTGGGGAGGCTGAGGCAGGAGGATCATGAGTTCAAAACCAGCCTGGACTACATACCATCTCTCAAAAAAAAAAGACTTAAAATGTTGATGAATGAATGAATTCATAAATGTCCTTTACCCTACCTTAACATCAATACATTTTTCCCTATAGGATAGGATACCAAGGTGAAAGCCAAGGAGAAAATCTTTCTTGTACTTTTTACTCTTTATATCCATTTTTGTATATATGTAGCCTTATAACTAATTTGCTTATGAATTATACAGAGTCCTAATATCAAATTTAAAGAAATTATCCAAATATCAAGCTTAAAATAAAATTATTCTGTTGACTATTGCCTGAGATAAAAATGAAACTTTATTATAAAATTGTAAATCTTTTGTTTAAGATATTTATCACAAAGACTTTTGTTATACTTGGGCTTATCCCATAGATTTAGTATGTGTATGTAGCAAAGTCTAAGTCTTATATATCTAGTATTTGTTGTTGTTGACATGTATGAATATCATCTTTTGTCCACCATATTGACTCATGGTTCACCATGAAGCCAAAACTGCCTCGAGAGAGCTCTCCTAGGACATGCCAAGGCTGGATATGCTTCCAACAGTCAAATACTTGCTCTATACCAATAGTCGGACAGCACACCTCTCCAAAACTGAGTTTGTAACCATGCCTCAGCCTCATTATTCCTTCCAAGCATTCTACTTCAATGAATTATACTGGCCTTTGTTTCTGTATTTCTCCTGACAGCCCTCACCCCCGTCAGGTAGATTCATAGGAAATAGACACAAAGAGCCAAAGGAAGATGAAATATCAGCTCTGTTAGTGGCAGCACAGTAAATCCCCAACATACAAGTCTTCATGGTATAAAGTATGATACTTAGGCCTGAAACCCAAATATAGCATTGTGTTCCTTCTACCTACCACTGAAGACAACTGGGTGTAGAAAGGACCATTTGACTAACCCATTCACACATGAAAACCCAAGGTACACCATGCCTCAACAAAGAGAAGCACAAAAGAATTTTTTTTTAAGCATGCCACATATGAGCAATAACCTCCAAGCTCACTCAAGAGACAGACTTCACCCTCTGATTCATTCTCAGGTTCTGGCCTATCTCACCATCAGATTAGTTACTCCTCCACCTGAGCTTAGGATATTAAACTTGTGGGAAATGGGTCTACAAATTTATAGTCAGTCTTTCTCCTTACCTAGCAAGGTCACCAAAAGTTCTCTGTTTGGAATCTGGAAATGTAGGAAAATAAGGATTCCAATTTACCACTCTCCACCATTTCCCATCATCCAAGCCAAGCACTGAGATATAAATTTAAACTACCTACTTTTTCTCATTTCCTTATCATTATCTATATTCTGTCAATCACCAGATCCTGAAATTTTATCTTCTAGGTATTTCTCCATATAGCTTTTTCTTCTATCAATGCTACCTCGATTCCAGATCCAACCCTCATCATCCTTTGCCAACAATGCCGCAACAATCTCCAAATTCACCTAATTTAAAGCTTGTCCCATTTCTAATCTAATCTCCACACAGAAGCCACAATGATTACTCTGTAACTCAATTCTGATCATTTCACAGCTTCCCATTAACTACAGGATTAGGGCCACTCTCTTTAGAATAAGTTACAAAACACTTCATGACCTACCTACCTACCTTTCCAAACATACTTGCCCCATTTCCCTATCCCATGCTCTTCCCAGTAACATACAGGAGTTGGAGTTTCAGAAACTCACCATGCAATTGCAAATCTCCATTCCTTTATTCATGTCATATTTTTTTTTCAACTCCTTGTCTTATTTGGTTAACTCTGAATCAGCCTTGGAGGTTCCATTTAAGATGTTACTCCTTCAGAAAGCCATCTCTAACCTCAACCTTTGCTTCCTATCCTGTACCCTTAAGCTGAGGAAATTGCTCCTCTCCTATACTGTCATAGCACTCTATGAGTGACTTCAACATTTAACTCACCATTCTATGTTGATATTTATTTTCATATCTGTCTTCTTATTTAGTAGGGACCATATCCTCAGAAACAAGAGTTACCAGCATTTACAATAAGTTTGTTGACATAACCTGAACCCTTTATTCTTCCAGATTATTCATTCATTCCTTCACTTATTCACTAATTCATAATCATTTATTGAATTCCACCCACTTACCACTTTCATTTTGCTGGGTAATATTCTGATTAACCAGATGCCTATGGACTGTGTGGAAATCAATCACTAACCACCACCAACCCTTCCCATTCCAGAGCATATGAAGAACAATTGTTAACAATTTTCAAATTGTGATTTGTTTTTAAATCACCCATTTGAATCATTTTCATACCCTTCGTATTCTGGCAACATAACTGACTGATTATGCTTTGCTTATTTTATGGGTGTAGAGTGACATAAGTGATGCTTTGTGACAGCCTAATACTCTAGAGCTGTGAGGCTATTGCTCACTCCTTGATGGCTTCATGTGTGGGAAATGCAAATCTCAATGGCAGCCATCACAGTTAAATACATGTTGATGGATAATATTAGCAAAGTAACAACAGATTATTATTTTACAGCAGGTCTTTAAACCCACTCAGCCTTAGCCAGTCCTTCCTGCTTCAGAAGTCTTCCTGCCCACTGGCTTTCACTACTAATGGGTACCATTTTTTTTAAGTTCATAAAGGGTCAAGCAAACAAAAATCTCAGAAAAAGAACAGGGAAACTTAGAGGCTGAGTGATTGCTAGTTTGGAAGACAAAAGCAGGGAAGGCTAGCTAATCTAAGGGCACTCAGCTAGGGATCTGGAATGTCATGAAAAATATGGTCTTTCCAGGCCTCTGGCAATGATAATGAACAGCCAAGAGTGAGTGAGAATGGGAGAAATTGAGGGAGGACTTGGCCATAAAAAGATAATGAACATAGGCACCTATTCAGCTGCCTCCTACAATGTGCCCACTCCTCAAGGAAAGAGTAAAATTTATACAAACTGCCTCATGAGGAGAGCTTTAAAATAACAATGACAATGATAAACTAACCAGTTGATTTTATGCACTGATAACTAGATTAATACATACTGTACCCTAAAGCCTTTTGAAACTATATAAGTATATACATACTCTAACATTTTTATGGAGAATCAAAATATTTAACAACCAGCCCAGAATCAACCAGTCGTCAGAACAAATGTCTACATGAACACCAGTAGGACCACTTGGAGCACAGAGTTACATATAAGCCTTGAATGTGCACACACTTCGACAAACAACAAGCATCTCTTCCATCCCCTGAAAAGTTGAGTACTGTATTCTACCCTGATTTCTTTCCCCAAAACATGATTGTTTTGTAATAAAAATCTTAAAGGAAAATCTGAAGTCATTCTTGTGCGTATTGGCTTTTTGTTTAAAACTGAAGAAGAAAGCTTAGGGTACTTTCTTATCCATTTTAATCATTTTGTTTGTCCTCTTGTTTCTGACCCAAAAGTCTAGCAACTTCCCCACTCCTACTGCCCTTCAATCCAAAACTTCCCTGTCAAAAGAGAAACTGAGGCAGCAGAACTGTATCTCACAGTGATCAGCCTTGCTGGAATACCTGAGAATTGCCTTCTTCCCACACTTCTTGTGCATCTCCCTGGGCATCCAACACCCTAGAGTTTTCTCATTTTTTTTCTGCCATCTCCTCTTTGTTTCAGATCCAATCCTCAATACCCCAGCTTTATGCCATTCTGTCTTTTAGAGATAGAATGGCAAGTTGTTTTAAGATGTTCTCACAATTACTTCATCAAACCATAGCTCCCTACCCCATTTTTAAATGGGGACATTTATTAATGACCACGTGCCAGTCCTCAGATATTCACCTACTTCATAGTATTAGCTATTATAATGCACTGAAACATTATTTCCACTGTGTAGGAAAGTGGGGGTCAGAAGCACTCAGGAACTTGTTATTGCCCACATAGCCTGTAAGCAGTGATATCAGAGTTTGAACTTGGGAGACAGTTTGAGTCCAACCTCGTTTTCATTTGTCTTATGTTGCTGCTCTAAAACAAACAAAAATTTATTGATAGAACTGTTCAAATTTATGGAGGCTGGCCTTGATTTGACTAACACTTTTCTGTCTCACCTGAATACTTACATGTATAAGAAAAAGAAGGCTGGTTTACCACCTCACATCTCCACTTATAAATCTCAGGTCAATAGACCCCTAAGCTAACATAAGCTTGAGACAAATGGTAACCATAATAATGTCTATCTAGCCCTACTGAGGGAACATAGGGACTAGATTGATACATTCTTGATATATCTTGCCACTTACTTGAATTAAAACTTTTTTTTTGGTACAGGTGTTTGAATTCAGGGCTTCATGCTTGCTAGACAGACACTGTACAGCTTGAACCACTCCACCAGCCCTTGAATTAAAACCCTTAAGTAGATATTCAGAAATTATAAAAGGTATCATTCATGATCACTTTGATAAATGGTAAAATCAACAAACCCAAAGCATTATTTTGAAGGTTGAGGAGAGTACTTTCTTTCTCTAGAATCGGAGAGAAGGAAAATTAATGTACAGTTAGATGTGAGCCCCCCAAAAAAGTAGGGTTCATGTCTACTGAGAGTTGGTGCACATGTGTGCATGCATGTGCTTGTATGTGTGTACATGCATGCATACATGTGTACATGTGTGTTGCTGGGATCCAGTTGCACTCAGACAGGTTCAGGGGCTCCTCTAGGTCTTAGGAAGAGAGACCTAGGAAACCCTAGTAAGGGACACACTTACTCTCTAGGGGCATGCTGATTGTCTGTGAACATCATGTAAGACCTTATTGTTTTCAACTTCAGAAATATCTACCAAAAAATCAGAGACCATGACCTCCTGGACAAAAGGAAAACAGTCACAGCACTGAAAGCTGGAGAGGACCGGGCCATTCTCCTGGGACTGACGATGATGGTGTGTTCCATCATGATGTACTTTCTGCTGGGAATCACACTGATGCGCTCATACATGCAGAGGTAATGCCACTGAGTGGCTGGGACGCTAGACTGACTCCTCCTCTCTCCTCCCCATTGCTCACTCAACTCTAAGGTCATCTTTCTCACCTTCGTTCCTAATACCTTTCAGAAGTGCCTGGTGTATAATATTTACCAGTGATGTTATCTAATAATAATGATAGGGATGGTACTATGTATAAACTACCTACTAAGTGCCTGTGACTTTTCATACATTATTTGTTTCATTTTCACAACCACTCTAATAAAGTAAGTATGAATATACTCATTATAAAAATGGCAAATTTGAGGCTCAAAAGGGATAATTTGTTCAATGTCACATAGCTCTGGCAAATGGCAGAGCTAGGATTCAAACTTATATCCCACTAATTACAGGGTCCCTAATCTCACCACCTCACACTTTCTCTGCCCTCATTCCTTTTCCACCCTACCCAACCCATACCCCTCCATCACTCTCTACATCAGTTCTCAATTGCACATTCCAACTTCCTCAGGAACTTTGAAAATGCTGATGCCCAGACCCCATCCCATCACCGCAGCAGATTAGATTAAATTAGTTTGGAGCAGGGCCCAGTCATCAGTAGCTTTTAAAGTTCTCCAGGTGATTTTAATATACCATCAAGGCTGAGAAATATTGCTATGCATCAATCTTTTAAAATAACAGATTCTGAACCCTTTTCATTCTCATGTTTGGCCTAGGCATACTGAATAGAAAGGGAGGCAAATAATTAGTGAGACCACTAGTGTGTTTCCTCCTGAGTAAGCCATGTGATAAATTCCAGCAGCATCTCTAGCTCACTGCAGTCTGTAAACTGGACCTTTGGAGCACAGGTGAGCCCATTGTTGCTGGAGCTAACGGGGGAAAGTCTCACAGTGGTTTGGCTTAAAGAAACAAGACCCTTTCAAATAAAAAGTTGAGGTTTTTTGTCCAAAAGAAAATCAAACCATTTTGTGGCATTCATTTGTCTATCTAAATTAATACTTTCATTTTAGAAGCAAAATCTAGCTGAAATACACTAATTTGCTAAAATTAAGGCTTCATCTTTCACATTCGTGGCTGTTCTGCTCTGTTTCTCTGCTGGCCTTCAGCTGTGCTCTTTCTCAATGAAAGTGCTGATGCCTTCGCTGATTCCAAAATCTCTTTCAGATCCTCACATCTGCTTAGACTCATTTAACACTTTTTTTCCTCATTGTATTAGCAAAATCTGTCCATCCATGTTCCAGGAAAATATAATTTGCCGTAGCAGAGTGGATCAAGTTTAGTATCCTACCTCTGGCATAAAACTTGACATATGCAACAGTGTGCCGGATGCACAGCCAGCAAAAGGACAGAATATTAATCTGCACAAAAATATGTTGGTTCCCAATCACTGTGGTAATCAGCTTGTGTCCAGAAGCAAAACATTGATTGCTCGTGATATATCCTAATTACAAATGCTTGCCTTGATCACAAAATTAAAGGTATTTTAAAATGAAAGTTGACCAGTGGGCAACAGGAATCTTTCCAGTTGAGAATGTCCATAACATCCTTATTAACCCATTAGCCTGCATAAAAGGGTTTCTTTTGCACGGTGCTCAAAAAGACAGCACAGTATAACAGAATGGCTGTGGACCTAATAGAAATAACTGTATTGGGTAAAATCACAATTTCCTTCAGTTACCAGCAATGTGTTCTTGCATATCTTGCCCGATTTAACTGACTCTCAATTCAATTGCCTTTAAAAAGAATGAATACCAAGTTATAGAGTTGTTGAGAGAACTAACGAAGATAATTTATGTAAAGCACCAATTAAGGGGAAAAGGGATGTAATAAGTGCTCTTGCTGTAATCAAAGGGTTGAGATCTTATTTCCCTTATTTAAAATGACTTCAGGGCACAATATCACTGTCCTTCCATCTGTCAAGTTGGACTCCAGCCCAACTTCTCCTTCTTGTAGAGAAGCAGAGGTCAGGGTTGGGATGAAGAAAGTACAAAGTGAAACCTAGCAAAAGTAAGGACTGGAGCACAGTGAGAAGCTGTACAATGTAGAAGTACAGCTATACCTGTAGAATACAGGTTATTACTTGAAACATGCCTTATACTTTCCAGTGAATTCAATAAGAAAAATAAATAAATAAAGCTTACTGTGTCCAATGGTTGCCATTGAGAAAATTCTCAGGTGCCAAAGTTTGTATATACTATGTTGTAGTTTGCCTAAAGCTTCTCTATTCAAAGGCATACACTTTACGCAGATGGGTGTGTTACAGACTTAGAAAAGACTCCTCGGGTTTAGGAGCTGAGTAATGATCCCCTTCGATCATGCCCTCCTTGCCAATAGCCCATGGGCCTATGTGTCTTCTCCCCTTTCTCTACAGTGTGTGGACTGAAGAATCTCAATGCACCTTGCTGAATGCATCCATTACCGAGACCTTCAATTGCTCCTTCAGCTGTGGTCCAGACTGCTGGAAGCTCTCTCAGTACCCCTGCCTCCAGGTGTACGTGAACCTGACTTCTTCTGGGGAAAAGCTCCTCCTTTACCACACTGAAGAGACGATGAAAATCAATCAGAAGGTAGGAGCTCAGCACACCACATTCCAGGCATCCCACAGAGTTCCAAGCCAACTCCTTTCACTTTGAAGTTCCCTTTTGCCAGTATTTCAAAGGAAAATACCACCAGGAAGTAGGCCCTGCCTCTTCCATTCAAGGAACTCACTCCTTGATTTTGCCCTGGGAAATATTTCCCCTGCAAATTGCGGACAAGTCATTTCCCCATTTTGTGGTAGAGCAGTTATGGCTTTGACTCCCATTGGGAAGGATAATGTATCCTTATTTATACACAAATAGACTAGTCTTTAAAGCAACTACAGAGCGTAATCAGAGATGCACACTAGTATTTAGAAGTCACCTGGTAAAACAATGTTTTGCTTTTCTACAGTCTTTCACTTTGTTCTGTTACCTTGAGGATACAACTTAACCTCTCTGATCCTCAGCTTCCTTTTCTCTAAAAAAGACAAGAATAGCCACCTTGCAAGGTCATTGTAAAAATTAGAATAGAGTATGTAGTATTGAGCAGATCACAGTACCTAGAACAGAGAGAACTTCAACCCATGGTCACAGTGTCACAGTGTTACAGTGTGTGTGTGTGTGTGTGTGTATGTGTGTGTGTGTGTGTGTTTCTTCATGTATGTTGGGTTCATAGAGGCTGAATTTAGTTGATGCTCAACACATGTGTATTGTATTAAAACTATATGTGAAATTTACATTTATAATGTTTAGGATGACCAGCAATATTTCAGCCAACCCACCACTATCAATTTTAAGTACATTGGGTTTTAGACTTGCAGTAGCATAGATCAAGACAATCTGATACCAATTTGACTTCAGTAAGACAATTGGCTCTTATTCCCAGGAAACAACCCTCATGAACTCTAATCTTCCTGAAAAATTTTTTCATTACAAATGCTTATACTTAAATGATATAGCATTAGTTATTGGGAGAAATGTGGTCACTTAGATGTTCAATACTAGAACACAGGGAGTAAGGAGGACTTGTCTCTGATATATTGACACAAAGTAAGGAAATTCACTTTGTAATTTGGTTATAATAACTTGAAAGAATTATTGCAAATATCTCTAAGGACTCGCCTTAATGAATATTTCAGAGAATGTTATTTGAAAACGTTTGTTCTGGTTTTCTTTCATTTGTAGTAGTCACAAACAACAGCAGTCCTAACCTTGTGCTGCACACTCAGGTTCTTCACAGGGTGTTTGTTTTTTAAGATCTTCCCTCAAAACAGATTCTTAAATCAAAGCTGACCTATAATGATGAATGCCTATAAAACTCTCAAATCTCCAGAGTAGTGAAAAATGGCCAAGGTTGGATAAGCATTTAAAAAGTGGGAATATTTGTTTCTTCATTTTGACATTTCACCACTACAGCCCTGTGAATGCATTACTTGGGTTACAAATAGGGAGTGAATGTACCATTATAAATCCCAGTTATATATTTAGGACCAGTGTCTTGTCTGCTGTCAGCATGATCCTAGGTCATCATTTGGTTTATTTGTCCCACTATCTTGTTTTTAAATGTAAACTATAACACACAGAAATAACCATAAAAAGAAAAAGTGTAGCTCAAGTACTTATTATAAAGAGATGCTCCCATGTAACCACCACAAAAGTAATACAGTAAAACATTCCTTTCACCAGAAAAAGACCCTGCATGCCCTCTCCCAGTAATTTTAGGTGATGCTCCCTGTTGAAGATAACCTCTATCCTGGCCGTATGGCAACTACTTTCATATTTGTCTTTGTAGTTTTATCATGAAACCACATATCCTTAAATACCATATTTTAGCTTTGCCTCATTTTAAAACATTACATAAATGGCATCATATAGAATCCTTTCACTTGTCTGTCTTCCTTCACACAGCATATTTGTTGGAGTCATTCCATTTGATTGTAGTTTATTCATTTCCTTTACTATACCACATTCCATTGCATGAACAGGACAGTTTATTTATTCACTCTGGTTGAGTTTTCTATAGTTTGGGGCTATTACAAATAATTCTGCCATGGATATTCCTATATGTATCTTGGTACAGAAGAATACACATTTCTGTCAGGTATAAACTTGGGAATGAACTCTCTAGATCACAGAGTATATACATCTCTAAGTTTAACAGATGATGACAATTAGTTTTTCAAAGTGCATATACCTATATAATTCCCCACTATCCCTGTGGATATGAGTTCTTATTGCTCCAAATCTTCACCAAAATATGTTACCATCTGTAATTTTAATAGTTACTGTGGTGATACTTTCTTCTGGTTCTGATAACTAATGCTGTCAAGTGTCTTTTCATTTATGTCTCAGTCATTTGAATATCCTCTTTTGTGTAATACCTATTCAAGTCCCTTGCCCACTTTTTCATTGGATTTTTTGTTTTTCATATTCAAATACAACAAGGTGATTCAGCGACTGAGCGGCTGAAGCAGAAGGATCACTTAAGCCTGGGAGTTCAAGACTAACCTGGGCAACATAGTGAGACTCCCTGTCTCAAAAAACAAGCAAACAAACAAAAAACTGAAACAACTAAATGCAAAACCTCTGCTGGTTATACATGTGTCAAATATCTTCACTCATTATATGACCTTTTCACTCTCTGAACAATGTCTTTCTTTTTTTTTAGGTCTTTTTTTATGTCCTATGATCTATTTTATTTTTTTTTTTAATTTTATTATCATATTGTTGTAATAAGGGTACACTGTGATATTTACAGAAGTGCTTACACTATATCTTAGTTAAATTCACCCCCTCCATCATTCTCTTTACCCCCCACCCCCATTCTTAGAATAGTTTCAACAGATCTCATTTTTCCATTTTCATATGAGTATATAATAATTCCACAATATATATCCTTTCCTTATATCATCCCCATTCTCACTGGTAGCATCCTCCAGATAGGACATGATTTACATTCCTGTCCTCTGCTTTTGAGGAAACAAAAGACATTTTTGTTTGTTTAAGATATCTATACAGATAAATCTGTCAGAGCCTTTGTCTTGAACTTCCAAGCCTCTAGAACTGTGAAAAATGAACTTATATTGTTTAGAAGCTAAAAAAAAAAAGATATCTATACAGAGAGTTTCATTATGACATTTCCACATATATATGTATTCTATCCCATATTGATTCATACCCTCCATTTTTCTCTCTTCTATCTTAGTCCTCTTCTTATGGTGAGTACAGAAGAATTAAAAATTCTGTATTCATTTACATACAGAACGTTCATCACCCATATTCACCTTCTTTACTTCCTTTTTTTACTCTCCCCCTCCTGTTAGTGCCCTCCCCTTAGAGTGACCTGTTTTTCATTCTATCCTTCATTGTTTAGGTGTCTTAAACAATATCTTTCAATGGAAGAAGTTTCAAATTTCAGTGTAGCCACATTTTGTTAATCTTTTCCTTTTTGTTAGTTCTTTTGTTGTTCAGTTTAATAAGTCTTCATAACAACATAAAAATCATTTTTCTCAATCATCTTCTAAAAGCATTATTGTTTTTCCTTTCACATATAAAGTAAAATTGTCTCAGTATTGATTTTTATGTAAGGGTTAAGTTTATTCATTTCTTTATTTTTGTTTTTCATAAATAAAGCTTTAAAAGACCAGTCCAGTTTTAAAAGACCACCCTTTCCTCCCTGGATTGTTTTTATAATCCTACTTACCCCTCTCTTTTTTCTCAGAAGTTATCTAGATCTGCAACTATTCTTTTAGCCTAGAGATTAGCCTAGAGATTACAATGGCAGTTTTAAATAATTGAAGACATTAAAATACTTGAACCCTAGTTGTTATTTTCCTGACCTACATGTTATCATTTTATTCTATATTTGCTTTAAGTTCATGTAGACATCATTATTGTTGTCATATGCAGCAAATATTTATTTATATGGGCCCTTGAGTTCTTCCATTTTCATTATTCTTAAGTTCTTTATGTCTGATCTTCCATTTGGGATCATTTTTCCACTGCCTAAAGAATACTTTCTAATTGGAAATTATTTTAGTGCAGTGTCTAATCTAAAGAATTTCTTCAGTTTTCATTTGTCCAAAAATATTTTTTTTTCTTTTATTCTTGAAAGATACATTCACTAAGCACAAAATTCTAATTTAGCTCTTATTCTGTTGCCATTGTCTTCTGGTAAGCATTGTTACTATTCAGAAATCAGCCCTCAGTCTGCTGCTGCTTCCAAGGTAATCTTGGCCTATTTTAAAGATTATTTTCTTTGGTTTTCTACAGCTTAGTTATTATGTGCCAAAGCATGCAGTTATTTTTATTTAGCTTTATTAACATTTCCAGGGTTCTTCCTCTTTTCTTAATGTTTTCAATTTTTAAAAGCTCTCAGTCATTATCTCATTAAACATTGCCTCTGCTCTCACTCTGTCCTCTTCCCCTTCTGGCACTCCAATTGGCATAAGCTAGGTTTTCTCACTATAGTCCGTCTGTCTCACTTTCTTTTTGCCCCTTCCTTTTGTCACTGTTCACTTCATTCTGAATATTTACCTAGTTCAGCAATACTTTCCTCAGTTCTGACAAGTCTGTTAATCTCATCTATTGAGTTCTAAATTTCTCTTATTGTATGTGTAACTCTAAAATATCTAGTGCGGTCTTATTTTTACCATTTTCAACTTCCTGAAATATTCTAATTCTTGTATTCTAAACCCTTTAACATAAAAGGTAATATTATGGTTGTTTTGATGACTTCAGTATCTCAAATCCCTATGTGCCTATTCCATTTTTTTCTTCTCTTGTTGTCTTACACTGTCTGGATTTTTAAAATTAGTTTTCAGAAATCATATTTTCAAAACTATTTATAAAAATAACTTTAAGCAAAAATTCACAAGCATGATTATGTCATGATGTTATCTTTTCCAAAAAGTATTTTTATTTGCTTCTGCCAGGTCCCTGGGGACCATATTTAGCAACACCAAATTCCAACTTCACGAACTGAGATATTCAAATCTAAACTGCCGTGCCTTTGAGGACCTCCTTCAGGTTGAGCATTGTTCCTGGGA